AACAAAATGCTTACCAAACTTCAAAGCAACTGGGTGGGGGGCAGAATTCTCCAGCCTTGGAAATACTCTTGTCAGTTTCAAACTAGTCTTGTCAATCTGTGCTTTAAGAGCAGTCCTTTGAAGCTTGCAGTGCCATGGTGGCACTGGGTTCAGCTGGACATTCTGTACACTGAACTGGTTGTGCTGGGTTTGAAAAAACCGTGCCCTTTAGTTTGTACTGTGGGGATTTTCTGGTTTGACATTAGTCCCCTTTTACTTGTATTGCTACCATGGTACTGGGTTCTGCTGGGCAATCTGTACACTGAATTGGTTGTGTTAGGCTTGCAAAAAAACCTTACTTGGATTGTAATTCACACTAGTACATTGTGAGATTCCTGCTGCCCCCCCCCTTGTTTGGAAAGTGATTCTGTGCTTCTCGTCAGTGTATTGCTACCATGGTACTGGGTTCTGCTGGGCAATCTGTACACTGAATTGGTTGTGTTAGGCTTGCAAAAAACCCTGACTTGGATTGTAATTCACACTAGTACATTGTGCTGGTTTTGTTGGGCTCCCCCCCTTGCTTGGAAAGTGATTCTGTGCTTCTCGTCAGTTCTGCTGAGCTGGCATTGCCACAATGGCACTGGGTTCTGCTGGGCACTGTTACATTGCACTGTTTCTGCTGGGGCCCCCACCACCACTACCTTCAGTTTCTACTGCAGAGATTCTCTGGCATGACCTTAGTCTTGTTGAGTTTGCACAGCCACAGTGGCACTGGTTCTGCTGAGCCTGCACAAATTCCCCCCAGTTTCAGCTTCTGCTGCAGATATTCTCTGGGACTTTGATTCTGTTTTCCTGGACTTCCATTGCCCTTGCTTTTTCACTGGTTTCCCTCCTCCATTGGAAACAATGGAAACAATGGAGGATGGGGGCATCTTCTTTGGGAGGGGCTGTAACTCAGACCTGTAAATTCAATCATGCCCCCACCACCACTACCTTCAGTTTCTACTGCAGAGATTCTCTGGCATGACCTTAGTCTTGTTGAGTTTGCACAGCCACAGTGGCACTGGTTCTGCTGAGCCTGCACAAATTCCCCCCAGTTTCAGTTTCTGCTGCAGATATTCTCTGGGACTTTGATTCTGTTTTCCTGGACTTCCATTGCCCTTGCTTTTTCACTGGTTTCCCTCCTCCATTGGAAACAATGGAAACAATGGAGGATGGGGGCATCTTCTTTGGGAGGGGCTGTAACTCAGACCTGTAAATTCAATCATCACCAAACTTGGAGGACAGGTAGAGGAAAGTTGGTTAGAGATCCCCTGCAAGTTTGGTGTCTCTAGCATGCCAAGGTGTGGGTGTGTTCCACTGCATCACCAACCGAACACATTCGTTTAGCTTCTAAAAGTTTGTGATGGTTTGTGGTTCACAAACCAGGCACACCACGAACCACGAACCACAAACCAAACCACATTTCCCTGGTTTGTGCCCATCCCTCACAATGTCTACCATGTACCACCTGCCCATAGAAAAAGAGTAGGTTTTATACCCCACTTCTCTCTATTTTAAGATTTATCAAAGCAGCTTATAATCACCTTCCCTCTCCACACAAAGGAATCTTGTGAGGTAGGTTGGACTGAGAGAGTTCTAAGAGGACTGTGAAGAAGAAAGAGGTCATGGTGGAAATTACTGTTCATCCAGTGGCAGTCTACAGCCAGCAGAAGCCCCTGTAGATCAGGACCAGAATCTACTGTTTTTATTCAAGTGTATTTTTGTATTTTAGGGTTGCCAGTCTCCAGGTGAGGTCTGGAGATCCCCCACTATTACAACTGATCGCCACTCTATTTGTGTGAGTTGGTTTAGTCTCATGGAATGGAATCCTTGCTTGTTACTTCTGTTTGTTAGTTAGGGTTAGGGTTAGTGACTGCTTTGGAAGGTGAACTCTGTGGCATTATACCCCACTGAAATTCCTCCCCCCCCCCAAGATCTGCAGGTATTTCCCAACCCAGAGCTGACAATCATAATGTATTTCCAACATGCATAATTACTTGAGTAGAAGAGTTTGTGTTTCCTGTACAAGGCTTAATTTCTTGACCATACAATGTGTACCTGAACTGTAAGACATCAGTAGCTCAACTCAAATTCTTGAGTTATCTGTTCTGTACACAGGTTATCTCCTATTATCTGAATATGGCAGGCAACACTATGGATAATATTGTGATCTTTGGTGACCCTGTTACGTGAGGATGGTGTTGCCAGGTGGCAAGAGATTTGTAAAAACATGCAGGAGGTGAGCGTCTTAAATTAACTGAGTGCTTTCTGAGAACTGTATCAGACACTCCCCAATGGCATGCCGGGATTCATTCTCAGAAACTATAATTTATTATTTCAAAAGCTGGCAACCTTGCATGGGAAATGCAAAAATTACTTTTGGTGGTGTGAATGAAAAGGTGTACTCGTAACAAATTACTGGAGATATCATTCAAGGGCAGAACCCAGAAGGCCACTCTTGGAATAATTTATTTATTTCCAGTGACCTATATTTTCTCTTGAAGCAATCTGTGAAAATTTTAGACAGCTTTTATCAGATCGTTCATTTCATGATGTTATACTGTTTTCTTTGCATTGTTTTTACATTTTTGTAGTCCACCCCATGTCTCAGCCTGAAAGGCAGACTACAAATGAAGTGTGTACATTAAAAAAAAAAAAATCCCTACTGAACTGCGCTTAGTTTTGGAGAAGAACCAGACCATGTCTTACAATGGCCTCTTACCAATTTGTTATAAAGTAAAAGAATGGACTCCACAACATTCTTTTGTACAAAAAAAACTTATTTATAGTTTTACATTCTGTTTATAAAGAAAAAAAATACAATATACCAAAAGTTTTATTTCAATAAATAACATTTTTTGTTGTTATACTTGGCAAAAGTTTGGAGGAGAAAAGTTAAATTAATTAAGACATTGCTGGATTAAATGGACTCAAGTCTGAGTCCACTGCACACGAAACCTTACACCTTGAACAAAACTTTGTTGGCCTTCAAGGTGCCACTAGACTCAAACTTTGATTTGCTGCTTCAGACCAACATGGCTACCCACCTGAATCGAAATAGACTCAAGTTATTTTGGAGTGGGGATGGGGAAGAATTTGAGCTGTGTTTGAATGATGCAAGAGACAGCAGTTAATTCTGACTGGGCACCGACAGTTTAGTTACATTCTCATGTGTCCCTTGCATGGACAACTTCCTCAGAGGTGTGTTTGTGTAAAGTGTCATCAAGTCGCAGCTGAGTTGTGATGACCCTAGAGGGCTCAGAAGTTCCCCAGAGACGTTCAGAGGTGGTCTGCCATTGGCTAGGGTTGCCAGGTCCCTCCTGGCCATTGGCAGGGGATTGGGGGGAACTTACCTGCAGAAAGACAAAGGCCCAGGCCTCTGGCAGGCATCACACAGGAAGTGATGTCATCACACCAGCAATGTCCAGGCAATGCTCTAGTATTTGGGCAAAAACTCTATGGTAAAACTGGTTTCTACCATGGAGTTTTTGCCCGAATACCAGAGCATTGCCTGGACATTGCTGGTGTGATGATGTCACGTCACTTCCTGTGCGACACTAGCCAGAGGCTTGGGCCTTTCTCTTCTCCTGATCAGTGGTTGGGGAGGCAGGGCCTGTGAGTGGGGGACTCCCGCTTCTGCCAGTGTGTCTAACAACCCTACCATTGCCTGTCTCTGAATAGCAACCCTGGACTTCCTTGGTGGTCTCCCATTCAAATACCGACCAGTGCCAATCCCGCTTAGCTTCCAAGATCTGATAATGTTGGACTAGCCTGGGCCTTCCAGGTCAGGGCATCTTTAATGGATCCGGTTCAAATTTACCGTGATGTTCAAATTCAGGTGCTTCAAAAAATTGCAGTTCCTTTAAGCCACACAAAGCAGGATTTTAAATGAGGATTAAACAGAGGTTTAAGCTGCAATTCTAAAGACACGTTCCTGAGAGTAAGCCCCACCGAATGACATAGGACTTACTGCTGAGTAGGCCTGTTCAGGCATGCTCCCTTGAATGTCCAGCTTGTGGGGAATAAACAACTCCTGTTCACTAAGGTGCCTGCATTGCCATTCAGCAATGGAAATGCAGCGGGATCAACTTCTGGGCACTAGTGAAAGAGGGAGGTGGAAGGAGCGAGGAGCACACAGGAGCACAAAAACAGACCGGGCATGGGCCCCATCAGAGTTTAATTGCAACTTGCGGTCATCACGTAGGGGCTGAAAGGATGAATCTTCTTTTAAAAGAAACTGGGGGTGTGAAGGAAATATGGGGCTTGCATTCCACAAACTTTCCATGAACTGTAAACAAAATCCTGGCTTGAACACAGTTTTTTTTTAAGAAGAAGAAGAAGAAGAAGAAGAAGAAGAAGAAGAAGAAGAAGAAGAAGAAGAAGAAGAAGAAGAAGAAGAAGAAGAAGAAGAAGAAGAAGAAGAAGAAGAAGTTTTAGCGACAGATAAACTCGGAGGCAAATTTGGCCTTGGAGAAAGGATCTGAATATAAAAAACTATTTTTTTCCCCAGCATTAGGAAGTTGGGATCCTGTACAGAAATCAGCTACCTGGAACCATCACTTATTTGTCTTGGGGGAAGGAGGTGAACGTTGAATCAACTTTTTTGGGGGGGGAGTGGGTGGGTAAAAGTGTTGTTACTTTTAGTCTAGTAAGAGGCTGAGTGGGATCTAGCCATCTTTTCCATCTTTGGACCTGCACGGACAAAAGCCGTGTGTGATGAAGGCAGTAGCAAGGAAGAGATCTGTGCACAATTCAGTGAAAAAGCTGGCCAGATCTAACCCATTGGATTGTTGTCTCCAAGCTAAATGGAATTCTGTCCCCCCCCCCCCAAATCATGAAGCCATGTAGTTCTAAAAAGTATGTCATTTGCTTTCTAATAACTGTCAGAAGAGGAATCCTGTGCCCCTCAAAATCCTGCTATGCTAATTAGGAATGCCACATTACCTCCACCCCACCCCACCCTACCCCCAGCAGTGCTCCTGTACCACTAACAGCAGAAGTTCCACAAATGAAGCTTTCCTCTCACCTCCCTGCCTGGGAAAACTTCATCCATTTAATGTCTGACTGTTTTTAAAGGAAGAGGGGTGCAACGGGGGTGGGAGTGGGGAGTGGCAATGCTAATTCTGCTAACACAGCTAGATGAAATAGCGGGCCTTGTCACATGGGAACCTCTCTTTGGAACAAAATACGGACACCAGTCTTGTAAATCCCTGATAAAGAGACGCTGCTTGAAATGGGAGCCAGACTTCTGGTCAAGTTTCAGTTGCGCGGGAGGTCTCTCCCAGTCTTCACCTCACATTTGCTGCCACAGTTGAGAATTTCATCTGTGAACCGTTCCGAACAAACCCTTTGCCTCTTCAGCCAGACAGCAGCTGTTGGGGAGAGATGTGCTGGTGAGTCCTTCAAGGAAACAATCTCTTCCGTACGCACACCTGCTTCCATGCTCCGGGGGTACCTGATCCTCGCTTCGGAGGCAGATGGGTGCAAGTTGCAAGTGCTTTCCCAGTCACATCACCGGAGGCCTCCCCATGGCATCTTGGTGTTGTGACTGGTGGTACCAAGGTCCAAAGCTGTTGATATAGCTGCTGGGAGGGAGAGGGGTTCCTTTGCATGCCATGGGGATGTCCCAGAGCGGTGGTATGTTGGGAGAACATGGGGACAATGAGGAGGAGCTGTGGAGATGGTCTTCTTGGATGCTGGAGCCCTGCTTCATGATCTTTTTGAACTTGGAGCGCTTGTTCTGGAACCAGATCTTTACCTGCAATAACCAAGAAGATGGAGGCAGGTCAGAAGAGAGACAAACGTTGCATAGAATTGAAATGCAGTTGGTTTGGGAGGAGGGGAAACCAAAATAATGCTCCTAACCTGGATTTGTTGGCCAAATATATATAAATATATAAATGTGCAGACACACTTCGTCAGATACAGACACACGAAAACTTATACCAAGAATTAAACTTTGTTGGTCTTAAATGTGCCACTGGACTCAAACTTTGTTCTGTTGATTCAGACCAATTTGGCTATCCACCTTAACAAAAAACCAGTTATGTTGAATTTAGGCGTTCTAGATTGGGAAGGTTGAGGAGTCACTGGGGAAAAACAAATGTTGAAGGCAGCAGGAAAAGAGGAAGACCAGCTATGAGATGGATTGACTCCCTAAAGGAAGCCACGACCCTCAGTCTACAAGACCCAAGCAGGGCTGTTAATGACAGGACATTTTGGAGGTCATTAATTCATAGGGCCGCCATAAATTGGAAATGGCTTGATGACACTGCACACACACACACTCTCTCTCACACACACACAGAGACTGGGAAGGTACTGAATTTGCAAGCTGGAACTAAGATGTTATTGCACTAAACACTAAAAGGGAAATTATTTGGAAATACTCCAAAGGTCAAAAAGATGAATTCTGAACTTCGGTCAAGAAAAGGACTGGGTCCTGACTGCTGTTTCTACAGGCACAAGTTCTTCCACTCCTGGAGCATGATTTTCCTGACTTCCCCCTCCTGTGGGAGCACAAAATGACTCCTGAAATCCTTCTCCTGGGAGACAGGGGACTCCCAGAAAGAGGATCTGAGAGGGATATTTTGGATTGCCATGGGAAGGCAAGAAAATGTGCTCCAGGGGCAGAAGCACCCGCACCTACAGAAGCTGGGATCCAATCCATAGTTGCCAACTTGAATTTGCTTGCGTGTGTGTGTGTGTGTGTGTGTGTGTGTGTGTGAGTTACATTGAATTTAGGACAAAGTTTGAGTCCATTGGCACCTTCAAGACCAACAAAGTTTTATTCAAGGTATAAGCTTCTTCAGATACAGTGAAGCAGAATTTCCTCCACCATTACATATAGAAAGAGGAGGGGGGGGTTAGTTGCCAGGAAGGAGTCCTAGCCTGAAAAAGATACTGAATATGCAAGTTGGGATGAAAGCAGTGGTGGTGGAAAGTGCCACCAAGTCACAGCTGATTTATGGAGACCCCATAGGGTTTCCAAGGTAAGAGATGTTCAGAGGTAGTTTACCATCGCCTGCCTCCTGTTGTGACCCTGGAGTCTGCACTTCCTTGGTGGTCTCCCATCCAAGTACTAACCTCACTTAGTTTCTGAGATCTGAGGCGATCAGGCTAGCCTGGGCCATGCAGGTCAGGGCTGGGATTAAGGTCTAGGGTGTGAATTCTGAACTTTGGCCAGACTCCATCTATAGGGGATGTTAATTTCGGCTGCAGTTTGTGTGAAGTTGCAGCCCTTGGGAAAAGCCAGCATGAAGGAGTGAAGAGCTACCCTAGATTGCGCCAGAGGTCATTCCGGGGGGGATCGCGGGGGATCGCAGTTCCCCCGGGTGAGGTACGGGGGGGGGGGCACATGACGAAGCCCCACC